ATTGAGCCATGTTGGTAGATGTATACCACCTAATTGGAGTCCTGTGGTTAAAGACTTTGTGTGATATGGCTCCAAATTGTTTTTAATCGCGCAGATGCATTCAATTCTCTGTAATCCCTGAATTCAAAGCTTCTGAATTCTCAATTTTTACTTTTCTAATTTCATCGATCTGTACTTTTTCATTCACCATTAAGTCTGTAACAGTCCTTGAGCAAAACAATGGTTTTATTTTTAAAAAAACTAGGATTATCGCAATTAGAGAACAACAAAAAAGTATCTTTTTTCACGCATCATTGCATAGTGAAATATATAATATCACATAACTAGAATCGGATGAATAATTTCTGATATAACGAGTATATTTGGATAACTAACATTTTTATCCACTGTACGACTCTATAAATGCATGACCGGGTTTAACGATTCATGAATAAAATAGCGATCCAAAGTAAGTGGCATGCTATATTTTATCCAACTCGATTAATTACAGCAAGCCATCACACACAATGAATGAGTCTAGAGTAGAAACCTATGGTGAGGTAATGATATCATATCTTTCATAGTCTGTCAATTATAGGCTGTGCCTGTCTGTCTGTCAACGCTCAATGACCAATCACATTTTCTTTGCACACCGGTGTCGGAACCACTCACATAGATATTCTTTCAAGGAACACAAATATGTGAGTGTAAAATATATATAACAATAAAAGTGTTGTTTTTATTGCATGAATTTATAACATTCATTATTTATTCAGTTCATTTTTTTGGTTTTTTGAATTAAACATTTTATTGATGTGCCCCATCACACATGTTTTTGTTTTTTCTTGCTATAATATTCAATAAGTAGTATTGAACTAGATTTTGTAAAACAAAAAAATACAACAGCTAAAAACGATTGATTTCTTATAGAATCTAGAAAATTGTTGCACTTGTATACTATAGATATAAGTAGCATATCAGATCACATTAAACTTGATTATTTTATTAAAGTTAAAATTATCAGAACTAATTGATTTATTTGTAAAATAAAAATCACATTTTTTGAAACCATGAATCGATCAATGTTAGACCACCATTATAAACCTGGAAGCACTGGACGGCCGTTTCGTCCTAGTATGGGACTCCTCAACAGGGCGCATCCACGACTACTGCATCCCGCAGGATTCAAACCTAGGACCTTCGGTATTCATATAAAAAAAAGAATAAAGAATGAATTCCAACTTATTAAAGATTTAAACAAAATTTAGTGAGTTGGTGGTAATTTGTGTTTCAGGTGTTTCAAGCAATATCATCTTATAGTGTTCATTGCTTATAATGAGGTTTATGAGTAGTATGGATTTACGGGCAAAGTGAAGCATGCATGACGTAATCAGTGTGATTTGAAGAATAGATGTGTTTTTGAAAATAGATGTTTTATTATGATAAGTTGTACATAATTTAGGTTGCTTACTCTCACCCTTTCTCTTTCTCCTGGTCATCGACTGGATTATGAAGACGTCGACATCTGGAGGGAAGCACAGTATTCAGTTTACAGTTAGGACGCAGCTGGACGATCTGGACTTCGCAGATGACCTGGCTCTTTTATCGCACACGCAACGACAAATGCAAGAGAAGACGACCAGTGTAGCAGCAGCCTCTGCAGATACAAATGTCAAGACAGTTCTACTCTATGGAGCGGAAACTTGGAGAACTACCAAAGCCATCATCCACAAGATACAAGTGTTTATTAACAGTTGTCTACGCAAAATACTTCGTATTCGTTGGCCAGACACCATCAGCAACAACCTACTGTGGGAGAGAACAAACCAGATTCCAATGGAGGAGGAGGAAATCAGGAAGAAGTGGAAGTGGATAGGACACACACTGCGAAAAGCACCTAACTGCGTCACAAGACAAGCCCTCACATGGAACCCTCAAGGCAAAAAGAAAAGAGGAAGGCCAAGGAACACATTACGCCGAGAAATAGAGAAAGATATGAGAAGAATGAACAAAAACTGGACAGAACTGGAGAGGGAAGCCCAGGACAGAGTTGGCTGGAGAAAACTGGTGGGCGGCCTGTGCTCCATTTGGGGTTAACAGGCGTAAGTTAGTAAGTAAGTACATAATTTAGCTTGTAAACTGTGTCTTCTCCCGATAAATCGCTTATTCCATTCCGGTCTTACCGTCTTCATTTATCACAATATGAAATAGGCGGTGATTTGTGTTAATATAAAATACCATCTCTGATTAGATTAGAATGAATAATGATATTGACTAGTTAAAATTAATTTTTAGAATGAGTTAATGGGATTAGTTTAAAAATAGTTCTTGATTATATTTTCTGAGCTAATGAAATGTACTTATCTCAAAGAAGCTCTAATTTATATACTTATTAACTGATCATAAACCAGAGTATTTATAGCATCAATTCAGAGAAAATATATACCGCTGATTTGTGTTTGATTTTGTAGTGAAGCATTCTGTGAGTTTTAATCTATTTGAGAGTTAATGATACCTTTTCAGCAGTTAAAAATGAACTTAAATAAAACAGACAGTGAACTTTTGACCTAAATGTTTGGAAGCCATACATTTAAGAAAAAAGTATGGAATGTCGAACGATTTTGTAACATCTTTCTATACAAAGAAAACTGGTTGTTGATGAGAAATCACTTGTAAACAATACAGTGATTATGATCTCAAAAGAAATAAATTAAGTTAAGCGCCGTAAGAAAACATCACTTTAAACTACAATCAAGTTTCTAATGTTTCCCGTAAAACTACATTTTATTATCGAAATTAATAAACAACAATAAATCGTCGAGTAGTAGGTTGGAAAAAAGCTAGGGGCAGCCAAACTTAAACAGCACAAATTCATGAAGTCACTGACAACTGGACTGAATCATGTTGGTAGGTGTCGACTACCTGATTGGGGTCCGCGGGATGATAGTAACCAATGACTAGACACTTTGAACGTTATAGCTCGAAATCGTTTGCAATGGCGCAGGTGCATTCATTCTTTGTGTTCTCTGAAATTCTAACCTTCTGAATTCTTCATCACCTCTATCTTTTTCTAGAGTTACCTCACTGAACTATACTTTTTGAATAATATTTTCGAACGTTAATCTTCTCCATAACCGCTAATACTTCTACAATCTCTACCACTATGGGATTTGAATTGACAAATGTGTCTCAGTGTGCTAATGTGGTATGGCAACATGAACTGATGCAATTGCGCACGAAGTTCTACGTTGTAACCGACTGAAATAAAACTACATTTTATTATCGAAATTAATAAAATAAATATGAATTGATTAGGGAAACCAGAGATAGAGGCAATAAATTTTCTTAATTTCACATTCTTACATTATCTAACAATTCATGTCCTTTGCTAACGCCTATTTTGTTGTCCATAAACTACTACTAATACAACTAACTATTCAAATGCAAACACTCTATTGACATGATTCTTCAATATTTTTTTTTTCAATGAAACACATGAATAAACACATACAATCTTATCCTGTGTTCTGTTCCCGGAGCCACAGCAGAATACCGAATGACTACAACTGGCCTGTATTACTTACTTACTTACTTACGCCTGTTATCCCCAATGGAGCATAGGCCGCTCACCAGTTTTCTCCAACCAACTCTGTCCTGGGCTTCCCTCTTCAGTTCTGTCCAATGTTTGTTCATTCCTCTCATATCTTTCTCTATTTATCGACGTAATGTGTTCCTTGGCCTTCCTCTTTTCCTTTCACCTTGAGGGTTCCATGTGAGGGCTTGTCTCGTGACACAGTTAGGTGCTTTACGTAGTGTGTGTCCTATCCACTTCCACCGGAACTGGCCTGTATAGAATTATTTTTTTTTACATCCTATATAAGCCCATTGTTTTTTGTTACATGAAATAAATCATTTTCAATTAACTGACCCTAACACAATGACAACCTTTCAACTATATTTCACATGTACAATCGCTGTTAACTATGTATCAATAGAGACAAGGAATATACTAATAATAATAAATACGTATTCATTGCATAAATTACTAAGATATATTGCATATTTTCTTATAATAATAATAATAATAATTGGTCATATTAGTTAGTATAATAATAATAAACCACTTTTTCTATTATTATTTTTTTTTATAATAGTCACCATAAATTTTCTCTTCAAAACCAAAAAAAAAATAGGTAGGTGTATACAAGTTGAATGAGAAATATTTCAAGTAAATGGTATCTTTATAATAGTCGAAGTAGTTAGTAGTAGGAGTAGTAGTATTAGTAATAGTACAATATATGGATACTATTAGGAATAATAGTAATAATGATAATAATAATAATAATAATAGTAATAAGAATGAATGAATGAATGAATGAATAGAATTCTATGAGTATTTATGATACTGATGATAATTTATTAGTAATAGTAATAATTCTAACAATATTAATATTTTGTCTTTCTTTCTCTACATACACACTGAAATGAAAATACACTGAGGTAAGAGAGAGATAAGAGAGAGAGAGTAGTGAACAAAGATATACAAATTACAAACAAAGTAATAACTGAAACAGCATCAATACAAACCAGAACAATAAACTCCACAACACAACATGGAAAATGTGAATGGACAAAAACTTCACTAACGACGACGATAACACACACACACACAAACGGAAACAACAACAATAACGACAACAACTGATAACAAGGCAAAAACAATTGACAGTTCACTAGGGTGAACACACACCCAGACACACAAAGGAAAAATAATACGAGTTTTTTTTAAATGAATCTATGATACACTTATATTTATATTTATTAAGCTTTTTCACAGTGAAACGAACCAACCAACCAACAAGAGAAACAAGCAATAACTATGAACAGCTTGATTGGTTATCATCAAATGACAGACAATGTATATGTAGGCATTAAGATGAATTTAATTACAAATGATTTAATTCCGAAAAAAATGAAAAATTTTTTTTGTTTATTTCGGTTTGCTATTTTTTTTTTGTAATGAATCGAAAAAAATCACTTTCGGTACTACTACTACTACTATTACTACTACTAATATGTATTTGTTGAACAACAAAATAATGACAAAATGTGTATGACGATGTGATGTCAAAATAAAAAATCATAAATAAATTAACTTTTTGAACAGGAGGAATAAACAGGGCGAGAAAAAAAATGGTACAGTTGAAGAGGATGATGCAAAACGCATTAAATGTTGACTGATAATGATGCTTCATAACACCAAGAAGGTGAATGGTTAGTTTAAGAAAAGTAGAAGAAGAGAGATGAACATTAAAAGAAAAATTCAAAAACAATCAACAACAACAACAACATACTACTTACTACAAAATATAATGAATCATAGTTGTGTACGTTGAATATACGGAAAATAGGAGAGAATTACAGTGGTTTAACGAAGAGATATTAACATAATTACAATTTTATTGACAAGTATAAGGTGTGGAGAGGGGAGCGGGGCGGGGTGGGATAGTAAAACATGAAACTAGAATAAATGGAGGGAGAGAGAGATAGAGACAACTGTTCTCCTAAACATAAATGTACATTACATAGACGTAAACATATCTATCTATCTATGCGTGTGTATATGTATAATTACACCTAATGAAAACTACAATGATAACAACAGAAAAATAAAATAGATTGAGTCTTTTTTGGAAAATAAACATTTATTCTTATAAAGAATATGCATATAATATCCATGAGTATAATAGTACTACTAGTATTCATAGATGTGATCTTATCGATGAGTTCACGTTATCCAATTGTACGAAGCATTCAATCGAGCTCATCATGTACTGACAGAATGGCAGCTCTTTTGTGGTAAAATAAACATAAGTTTGTTTGTTTTTTGGAGGATGGTGAGGGTGGGGGTTGGAATAATATGCATATTCATAAATAAGTCTGTATGTATGTATATCACATATTGTGCGTGCATTAATGTGTGTGTCTGTGTGTGTGTGAGAGAGGATTTCAAAGAGAACGGAGCAAAACACACAAAAAAAATATGAACAGCAGAAACAATTGAATGAATCAATTTAAGCATAATGAATTCTAGAAATATTTTGAGCACCTTGATCAACAACAATCACATCTCGACAATTTGACAAACTAACTAAACCAGCCAATCGTCGAAATGGTGGATCAACTTCAAGTAAATATGGTTTGAAAAGGTATCGATTACGATTTAAAGGACAAAAAATTGCACAAGTATGCGTTTGCAAGTTTGAGTCGACTATAGAGAAACGGGTGTTATGGGTGGTGTTGCTACTACCACTAGGGACATTAGAGGTGGTAGAAGTAGTAGCAGTAGTAGTATTCGAGATTGTATCATTATTACTACTATTAGTATTGTCATCCACTTCGCGAACAGATTGTCGACAACTGGAAGTCCATAATGCTTCAGGCCAAACGACAACACCAGAACGTTGTCTATCGGAATAAGTTGCTAAGATACATCTGCCTAGTTTATCAGTTAGATTATTATTATTATTAGAAGAAGGAGATTCAGTTGGTACAGTGCTGAATGACACACCACCGAACTGGCCACGTGATGAAGGAATTCGTGACTTAGATGGACCACTTGGATGACGAGTTTCAGATAAGCTTAAAGAATCAGGATTGACACTTTCTGAATCTGGATTATTCAATGCATTAAAATACGAAGTATCCAATGAAGCTCTTGATGGTAGAGTTGAAATACGAGTACGGAAATGATCATCACCTGGTTGACTTGGAGGCAATAAATCAGAAAGGAAATGTCCATCTGATGAAAATATCTAAAACAAAATGAAGATGAACATGTTGCATAAAAAATTCATAAGGTCATTTTAATTTACAATGTCTATTTTGGAAGTGCAATCTTAAAAGAAAGAACATAATGATAATATCACATTATGCGAACAGCTTACATTCTCTATAAACTAATAACCACATGGCAAACTAATACTTGAAAAATCAAATCAAGAAATTGTATAAGTAAAATTAACAAAGCTGAGGTTCTACAATGTTGTTGGGGACCTTAGATCCCCAGTGTGACTAAAGAACAAACCATGTTCCTTGGACAGAAGCGCGAGTGGTTAGAAGAGTTGGCTTATTATGTACGAAGTGGAGGTAGGATGCGATAGATGGTCACGCCATCGAAATCAGATACGCAAACTGCTAGACCCGGATAGCTCATCAGCAGAAGTATAACCTAGACATCCAGCTGAATACTTTCAACCTACCGGCAGCCCCACCACGACAGAGAACTCAACAACAAGCTGATCTTCGTTCCAGAAAATATCCTCTCCGACAGCAGCGAACAACAGTTAAGATGCAAGTCGACCCCAGGAACATATGCAGTTAAGAAGGGGAGGAGTGTTGGGGAAGTTAGATCCCCAGAACTCACTTGATAAAGGTCCCAATTTCGGATTCTGTGTTTTCGCGCATGGGCTGATCAGTTGGCCCAGAGATTACATTTCCCACCCAGAAAATCCTTGACTAATATTGGTTGTATTATTTTAGTACGCTATTTTTGTGGATCTCACAAGGACGTTTTTATCATGTATAAATAAACTCGATTTGTGTTTATCAACCTCGTATTTTCTTGGTGCTTGCAGAGTACACTTTCTAGGCTTTATCAAGACTTCTTAATATAGTTAGCAGGGCCCGGGACAATCGGATTAGATTAGTCTATCGTGTCACTGCATCATTTGTCTTCGCTCTCGTTTACCGACTAAGGTGACCTCGTAATAGTTTCAAGTATATCAGTTGACGAGCATACCATGTGATTTAATAGATAGACTCCAAAACAGATAGACAGTAAATGATGTATAGATTCTACTATCTTCTTCAAGTATATAGTAACGCGGGTGCCTTCGATCACTAATCGTCTTGATCGCCGCTGATGCTTCTACTACCTCTACTACAATCTGATTTGGATTGATAATTCAATCTCCGTGTGTTAATAAGGTAGGGAAACTTGAACTAATGTACGCACGTACGAAGTTCTACGTTGCAGCTAACTAACTGACTGAATGCTGTTACAATCAAATATCAGTATGCTTACTGTCAAAGACATAATGAAAGATAAATCTTTTGTTAGGTCTCCTTGAAATATTGTTATCGCCATGCTGAAATTCTACCATACTGTCTAATACTCTTGTTAACAATGAGTAAAGGTGGTTAGTTAGTTAGTTAGTTAGTTAGTTACGTGTTTTCATCATTCTACCAGACGATTGATTACAAGAGAAATTTTGAAATGTCAGTGAACGTTTAAGAAATTACTGTGATACAATATCTATAACTTCTACTTTTATTACTACCCTCGTCGAGCTATGTTTTACGATGTAGGAATAGGTTGGAAGAAAGTTAGGGGCGACTAGACCAAAATATGGCACAAATCCATGAAGTCACTGACAACTGGACTGGGTCATGTTGGTAGGTGTCGACTACTTGGTTGGGGCCCGCGAGATAATAATAATAATAATAATAATAATAATAAAGACCCTGAATGATATGGCTCAAAACCGTTTGCAATGCCGCAGGTGTATTTATTCTTTGCCTTCTCTCAAATCCTAACCTTCTGAATTCCTCATCTTACTTACTTACTTACTTACGCCTGTTACCCCCAATGGAGCATAGGCCGCCCTGAATTCCTCATCATTTTTATGTTTTTCTTTAATTTTATTTCCCTACATTCTACTTCTTGAATAATATCGTCGAACCTTAATCTCTCAGATTACTGCTAATACTTCGACTATCTCTACTACTATGAGATTTGAATCGACAATTCAGTCTCTCTGTGCTAATGTGTTATGGCAACTTGAACTGATGTACATACGTATGTACGTAAGGAGTTCTACGTTGCTGTTGATTGATTGAATGAATACTACCCAACTACTTCGTATAACAGAATGATGTAAAATGTAGCTTGTATTTTATAAACTAGAATCCTTCAACTAGGGTAAATGATTGAAAAATATTATCAGTTCAATTAAAATCTTCTTCTTCTTATCACAGACAAAAGACAATATGTTGAAATTATTTCCTAAAATATTTATTAATTTTTATTTATTTCCATAATTTACAAACAGTTGGTGAATCGGAGACATACAAACACACACACAAACACAAAAAAAGAAAAGCCGCATCCATTTGGAAAAGAGAAAAGAAAATGTGACAAAAAAAAGAAGGGCGGTCAAAGAATAAAAGAAAGTTGTCTTGTCTGTTGTTACATATTGTTTATTTATTTTAGATTTTATTATGTGTACGAGACAGACAAAACAACATGGCATCATTATTTCAATGATGAAATGAACTAAATTTTAATATGATCATTCTGGTTACACTAGATATGTGTGTATACGAGAGAAATGATGACTATCGGTGGTTGTGATAAATCAACACTACGAAATTATTTGAATTTCAACAGTAACCATGTATATCATCGGTATAAAGCATAGATTGGGACAATTTAGAGAAATGTACAGAGGTTCTATTTTACTGATATTTTATCATTTTAAACAGACTGATCAAATCTGATAGGACAAATGAAACACCGGCTGAATTTATCATAAACTAACACAATCAGTTTAACAGATTAATGATCATAAAATGATGATGAAATGAAGCTTTATGTCAATCAACAATGAACAAAATTCATCGATCTCATGAAAATTTACAGAAGATACTTCAACAGACAGTATCTACAGATTAATTGTCATTTAGTGTAAACACTATAGTCTAATTTGATGTGCCTGAATAGTTGTCTAGTGATAACTTGACTATCAGTCAGTCAGTCAGTTACAAAGTAGAACTTCGTACTTACGTACGTACATCAGTTCAAGTTGCCATAACACATTAGCACAGAGATGCAATTGTCAATTCAAATCTCATAGTAGTAGAGGTAGTAGAAGTATTAGCAGTAATCGGAGAGATTTAAGGCTCAACGATATAATTCAAGAAGTAGAAGCTAATGAAGCCAAAGAATGAATGTACCTGAGCCATTGCAAACGGTTTTCAGTCATGCAACTTGACTATCTATCACACGGATTCGGATTTCACAAAGAAAGTCAGTACGTAAAGGAATTTAAATACATCTTGCTATAAGGATGCTAAATAGCATCTTAACCATACTACTACTAAACAAAAATAATAATGCAATGTTGGATTACAAACACTAGAAATAGAAGGCCACGAAGGACAATACAACATAATATTGATTATCGCTGTTATCCGATTGAATCATAGTTTAAAGGATGAATAAAGATCTTTTTCATAAAGGTAATCTTTGAATCAATCTAATACTGTCTTAGTTCAGATGTAGAAAGAACTACTTTTTTTAAGTCTAGTGATATAACGATGAGGAGAAATCAAAAATATCAGCAAAAAAAATTACTGTAAAATAGAGTCGTTTACTTTCACACAAATATGTGTTTAAAAAAAAAACTTACTCGTATACACGTTCCTGTAGACAGAATTACTTCACCAGAGTCGGCTACACATAATCCTGTGATTAATTTGCAAACTTTAGGTTGAGGTAAATGAGAACTAGTTTCAGTTCGAATCATCATAGTATTATGTCTAGTTGGAGTGTTTGTATTACTACTACTATGTGTGTTAATAATAGATGTGGTATTTGTTTCAATGAACATATTCACAGAACCTGTTACCGGATCACATACAAATACACAACCAGCTCCATTGTCAGCAATAAATAAACGATTTGTTAAAGGACATCTAGCAATACTAGTTGGTTCTTTGAATAAAGGACTTGACACGGATGAAAGTACCTAAGAAAAGAGAAATAAACAGACAGAAATTGTATTATGAAGCAAAACAAAGATTTAGATAAAGATTAAAGAAATGAGCGCAACTTAGTTCCAGTTACAGACTTGAAATTATCTTACCAAGGCCTAGATTTCGATTTACACAGTCAAGTCTATGTGTACCGCATCGTACTGATTAAACAGACGGAGAATAAATGTCTTATCTTCGTCTGAATCAGTGTAAAGCCCTTCCTGTTTAGCTAAGGCATACCAATAGAAGCGCTAATGTAAAAATTTCTCTAGCAACATTTACATCATAACAACCGGTTGTTGTGGTGTAAAATCTATACAAGATAATATTAATTATTAAATTTATGTATTTAAAATGTTGATTAGGTAAACTATGAGTATTGAACTCTCTTACCTGTTCCGTAGCTGGATCCAGAAGAAACAGTTGTTTAGCACGCCAATTCACAATCCATAAACCTTGAGGTGACCATACCATACCAGTTGCAGCTTGACCAGATAATGGTTCACCAGACACAGTAGTATGAAGTGAACCATCTGTAGGATTAAGTACTAACAAACGACTATTCCCTGTATCCAAAACATAAACAAAATCACCGGGAGTTGAACTATCATTTTGTGAAGTATCTGATGAAACTTCAGAAGAATGAATAGGATAAGGTCCAATGGCTACAGCGAATGGTTGAATCAATCCTCGACCATCGAAACCTATTTTATAAATTAAAGTAGAAATTATTAATTATTAAAACATTTATGATAACTTAATAATTAGTGACGATTGAAAAAATAGTAAAATGTGCTTACTAGTGACTAGCTTTGTAAGGAAATTCTCGGAGTTCTAGTGAGAAGACGTGGCCAGTGGAGTTCTACCCTGTCGGGTGTAGGCAGTAACTACCAAAAACAAATGGATGAGGTCGCGCAAAATCTGCAGATTGATCAGAGTTAGACAGTAACACCATCGGATGCCGACTCAGTGGTCAAGATGTTAGGCAATCGCGCGTGAGACGAAGGTCCTAGGTTCGAATCCTGCGAGGCGCAGGAGTCGTGGATGCGCGCTGTTGATGAGTCCCATACCAGGATGAAACAGTCGTCCGGTGCTCTCAGGTTTCTAATGGTGGTCTAACAATCATTCGTTGATGATTTCGCTGTGCAAAAAAACACTGATCTCCATGATTCCAATTGAACAATGACTTATAAAATAGCAAAATATGATGACTATATAGTTTATTGTTGATATCGTATACGTTCGTAGATATCTTTTACCGATATCGAGAAAGAGACTAATTGTAGAGCAGACAACAAAATCCTATCTTAGGCTAGAAGAGTATCACATTACACATTCTTTCTTACAACTAAACAAAAATAATCAATATTTATATCGTAAAAGTAGAATACACAATCATATAACATCATTGTTCAACTGCTAGGACACACAAACAAATCTATACTTGTTGCACTCATGAGTGCATAAGATTTCATAATTTGAATTGTCAATACATGAATGAGGGATTATTGATTGTTATAAGTAGTATGTGTGTATTAAATGATTCAAAGATTTCTAATAAAACTAAAGATATCTTTGTTTGTTTAAGTTAAGGAGATTTAAATCAGCAAATATTGAAGGTTTGAGGGATCAAGAAACAGTGTGTTTGTTTTATGTTATGACTTCAAAGAAAGTATTGATTTTTATTACTGCTACTTTTATATATTGAATTACAGACAATAATGGATTGCAACTTAATTTAAGCATTGATGGTAAATTCACATGATAGAAAATAAATTTAAGTTGTAAATGACATGACATTAATGACTCTCTCTCTATCGGAAATGCAGATAACTTTTTTTAAGTTGGTTAGTTAGTTAGTTAGTTATGCGCAACCGTTCATAATTGATTTCACACAACAATCAAACGCTAATTGTGGGGATTCATCAAGGCGTGTTCATGACAAAACACAACTCTATACATAATCCTTAACATTAAGCAACTCGACCCAAAGTTATCATTTTTGCAATACACATTATTCTTGATAAAACAATTATAATATTTCTCAGTTGGAATAAACGAAGTCACGTTGTTTTTCTTTTGCATACAAACAACAGTAGTTACCTATGATGCTCCAAAAATTAAACTGACTAACCTGTTCGGGACGTTAGATCCCCAGAACTCACTTCGAAAAGGTCCTATTTTTGGGTTTTTTTGTTTTCGCGCATGGGCTGATCAGTTGACCTTGAGATTACATTTCCCACTCGGAAAATCCTTGACTATTATTGGGCAATGTATCGTTTCAGCACGCTATTTTTGTAGCTCTCACAAGGACATTTCCACGATGTTTAAATAAACTCGATTTGTGTGCCTGTGAACCTCGATTTTCTGAGTGCTTGTAGAATACACTTTCTATGTCTTGTCAAGGCTTCTTTCTCTATTTAGTGGGGCCTTGGGACGTTCGGATTAGAGTACTACACTATCGTGTCATTGGATCACCTGTCTTCACTCTCGTTTACCGACTAAGGTGATCTCGTAATAGTTTCAAGTATATCAATTGACGAGTCATAACACTAACAGATGATAAAATACTCAAAGAACTTTAAGAATATCCAAAAAACATTATGCAGCGCATAACATCAAACTTGTAGGGTTGTACAATGGACAAGCAAGTTTAAATTATAATGATCTATTCTCGCATAGTTCTCGATTCTTGCAGTAATTTCTCAATGTACAAACATGAATAAAGATAGTGAATAATGGGAAGTGTTTAATTTGTGTTAAACACTAAGAATAAGAATGAGAAAAAACCGAAACGAAAGCATACAATATTATCTACTGAAATTGAGTATAAAGTAATGATAGTTAGCAACTTTTAGAAAGGACTTATCGATTGATTTTGAATACAATAACTTTTGACAATACTAGTAAAATCATCTAAAACTAAAAGATAATCCAATTGAGTTGGACAAAAATTCCTAAATGGTATAAATAAAGGGACACTAAGTAAAAAGATTAGATGATATCTTGTCAACAACTACTTTCTTTGTTATGTAACTCATTTACCAAGCACAGTGTTTACGTGTTAAACCATGAATCATACTCTTTTTGTGAAGACGAAGAAGAAGAAGAAGAAGAAGAATAGTACTATTCAACTGTCCAAAGTGAAGTAGATAAGTCGAAATTTGAATCCCTTAACCTACTTGATAGCCAGTCAGTCAGTTGCAACGTAGAATTTCGTACGTATGTACATATGTTCATGCTGTCATACCATATTAGCACGGAGATGCAAATGTCAAATCAAATCCCATAGTGATAGAGATAGTAGAGGTATTAATGGTAATGAAGAAGATTAGGGTTTGAAGATATTATTCAAGAAGTATAACTCAGTGAGATAAGGTTAGAAAGACGAATGTAGGGGTGCTGACGAATCCAGAAGATTAGGATTTGAGAGAGCTCAACGAATGCATGCACTTGCACCATTGCAAACGATTCTGAGCCATGTCGTTCAAGGTCTCTAACCATTGGTGACTTTCGTCTCGCGGACCCTAACCAGGTAGTCTAAATTACCAACATGACTCAGTTCACTTGTCAGTGGCTTCATGGATTTCTGCCATGTTTTGGTCTGGCCGCCCCTAGTTGGCAAAAGCCAACCTACTTGATAAATAAGAAGCGAATGTTTTAGCCATTAAAAACCAGCAATTATTAAAGAAAGAAAAAAATTCACATTATGAGGTAAAATGTTGTCGAATGTTTATGGATTCAGGAGTTCAAACAGAATAAGTTGCAGTTATAGTTTAAAATAGTGAATTAATCAATCGATAATGGTTAAGTGATTATTACAATACCCATTATGTCTAATTGCTTTTTGTAGTATACATGCAGTCGGTGTGACCTTAGGAAATAGAATATATTACAGCTAGTTTTATAAGAATTACTTAAAACAATGAAATCTATATTACAATGAAAATACTACTAATGCAAAATTACTACTAAGAAAGAGTGAAAAAATATTGTTTATTTTCAAAATATATTTTGTTAATTTAGATAAAAAAATTCTTTAAAAATGATTATTATGAATAATGAATGAACGAAAACTACTTGTTTTTCTTCTAATTAAAAAAGAAACTCTCAGTGTCAACACGATATTAATTTTGATTACTTCATGATTAAGTTAGACTCAAACTAGGATCGGTTAACTGGTTCGTTTTCAACTAAATTGAGAATATACTAAAAGCTTCTTTCATCAAATGTACACACTGTCCCTTGTTTTCAATTTAGATTTCGTTGCTCAGGTTGATTATGATATAAAATTGATTTCCCTAAAGTTTTGTTCTAATTTAGGACGAGTTGTTTAATAAACACGAAATAGTAGAGAATGAAACATCTAGTTGGTCTAAAAACAGGTAAAATCTCGATTAAGATAGATTTATATTAGGTTGATAAGAAAAAGGCTGACTTTTAAAGTATACTTGTAAATATCGTAACAAGTAAAACAAGGAATAAGCAAACTAAAAACAAGACTATCAACTTTCGAAACCATAAAAAAATGAACGATATGTAAAGTGAAAAGATCAAATACAAACAAAGAACGCTAAATCGTAAGCTTTAAAAGTGAATACTACATAAAGGGTATGAACAAAATGTCTTCATGAAAGTGATTTCTCAATCAAACTTATCAAGAATACTGAATTGATTAAGTATCAGTCAGTCAGTCAGATGCAACGTAGAACTTCGTACGTAAGTACATCAGTTCATGTTGCCATACCACATCACAGCACACAGAGATGTAATTGTCAATTCAAATCCAATAGTAGAAGAGGTAGTAAGGGAATTAGAAGTAATCGGAGAGGTTAGGATTAGAAGATATTATTCAAGAAGTATGATTCAGTGAGAAAAGTTTAGAAAGTCAAAACTAGAGTTGTTGAAGAACCCAGAAGATCAGGATTTGAGAAAACACAAAGAATAAATGTACCGGCGCCATTGCGAACGATTTTGAGCCATGTCATTCAAGGTCTGTAACCAACGATTATTATCATCTCGCGGACCCCAACCAGGTAGTCGACAATTACTGGCATGGCTAAGTCCACTACTCGTCAATGACTTCATGGATTTCTGCCATCCATTGATTAAGTATACTTCATATAGTATGATGATACAAATTAAAAAAAACACAAAATATATGTGAATAATAAAGATAAGTGTGTATATATAATATAATTTACCTTCTTTTAAAAACCAAATACGTTTTTGTGTTGGTTTAACATGAACACTGTAAGGTGAACCACGAATTGGTCTGTTGAGAATTTTTACAGATAATTTATGAAGACCAGAAAATGGTGTAATCATGCTAAGTTCATAACAACCATTTCCAATGTCTAATATATCAGTTGGAACTAAATAACCTCGTGGATCAGTAAAAGCAACTTCAATAGGATCTGTACCACTGTTTACTTGAGGACGACCATGATAATCAACTGCTTGAATAGTGCACTAAAAAATACACAAAGGAATACACAAGGTGAATTGATAAATATTTCAAGGAATATAAATTAGCTGACCAATATCAAGGGATTAATAAAAACACAAATTAGAATTACACCTTAGTACCAGTACCCGTGAGTTAACTCTAAATCCTTATCGATACACGACTGGATGTCTGCTTTGTTTCGCTCGTTCCCCTTAGTCCAGCAGACTATAACCAACTCCCACAAAATCCGTTATATTTCAAGCGGACGTAGTTTACGTACAAAACATACCAGACCACATAAAAACCGCAGAATGAGAAAATACATTTTTTTTACATGAGAGCTAAAAGTAGAGTCTCTGAATGATAAACCGGCAAAAGATTAAGAATAGTAAATCATACAAAATTAGTATGTATTAATGTAGTTATTTAACAATTATACAATCTCAATCTAGGCGATTGGACAGATGAGCGGAACACTTGAGAATAGTTCAATCATTATCCATCCTTCAGCAACACTTCAACAACCCATTATCAACAAACAACATGCGTGGCAAATTGAAGTAAGCCTTCCAACTCTTAGTGAGGTTGAAAAAGCTAAAGGCAATCAACATATAGGAAGAGCAGCATGACTTGATGGATTGAACCCCTGAGATTTTTAGGGATGGTGGTTCAGTTTTAGCAGTTCGATCGACTGAAATCTGAACCAGGATTTGGGAGCTGAACCTAATCCCACCTGACTGGTCTCAATCACTGATTGTCCCAGTTCATAAGAAAGAACAAAAGTACGCTGGTGATAATCACAGAGGAATCAGTTTAATAAATATAGTGTCTAAAGTTTCAGCTTCAATAATACTTCAACGCCTAATTAGAGCGCCTATATAGCAGACCCAAGAAAAGTAGGCCGGTTTCAGACCTGGACATGGAAGTATAGGTCAAACATTCACGCTTCGTCAGATACTGGAACAAAAATAAATATTCAGATATCCAACAGTAGTTGTATTTCTTGATATCAAGGCAGAGTTTGACTCTGTTGATCGTGAGGTTCTGTGGCAGTATCGGCCATTGAAAGGTATACCAAAGAAAAAGTATATTAAACTTGTACAAGCTCTCTACTCAAAAACCACTGCTTCACTTTGGAGTCTCATCAGTACTGATGGTTTGGTGACTGACGAAATCCTAGCACGGATGCAGAGGGCTCGACTGATTTTGTCAACTTGTTTCACTTATGATGTAGACGAAATAATCATCTGCTAGCTAAAGGGCGAGTTTAATGCGCAGCAGTTCGCTCCGTCCTACTCAAAGGGTGTGAAAAATGTCCACTAAGAATAGAGGAAATGCGTAGGTTACTGGTATTCGATCACTGGTATATTCGTAGCATTGTTCGTATATCCTAGGACTATCCAGTAAGCAGTGCTGGGATTAGGAAAAAGGTACTAGTTAAAGATGGCAAATCAATTAGTAAAGTAGTGAATTTTCAGCAGTTGAGGTGGTTGGGACATTTGTTACGTACGCCCAACCACCAACTACCCAGACGAATGATGTTGTCTGATGTGATAGGTAGGCTGGAAAAAGCTAGAGATGGTCAAACTAAAACATGACATAAATCCATAAAGTTACTGAAAACTAGACTGAGCCATGTTAGTAGGTGCAGACTACTTGGTTGGGTTCCACGAAACGATTGAAACCAGTGGTTAGAGACTTAGAGTGACATGGATTGAAATTTGTTTGCAATGGCTCAAATAAATCCATTTCTTCTCTTCCCTCAAATTCTAATTTTCTGAACTCCTTACGTCATTTATTTTCTCTCTTTTTTTTAAAAAAGTTTATTTCACAGAGTAGCATAGTTTTATATCTAAAATCGCTTGTTTTTCTTATCTCTGGTTATTTATGCTTGGTAATCAATTAAAAATAAAACTATCTTGTGAAAAAGATGAACGGATTCAGTCGAGACCAGTAAGAAAAGAGAAAGAACTTTTTAGGTATTAAAGGGAATGGAAAGAGACATATGTGTGTGAGAACATAATAAAAGTAAATAGACTTTCTGAAACACGCAATTTAGAAATTGGTCAAATATCGAGCGTAGAATTTACTAGTATATTTCAAGTGTATATAGAACGCTTGGTAATAAATAAAACTTATTACATTTCGATGAATGAAATTTATTTAATACAAGATAGTTCAAGCAATTCACATACTACAACAATTATCTATTATACTTAAATCATTTCATTTACCGATAAAAACAAATCAGTCAGTCAGTTGCAACGTAGAACTTCGTACGTATGTACATAAGTTCATGTTGCCATACCACATTAACACAGAGATACAAATGTCAAATCAAATCCCATAGTGATAAAGATAGTGGAGGTATTAATGGTAATGAAGAAGACTAGGGTTTGAAGATATGATTCGAGAAGTGTAATTCATTGAGATAAATTTAGAAAGAGAAAGATAGAGATGATAAAGAATTCAAGAGCTTTTGAGAGAACACGATGAATGGATGCACCTGCGCTATTGCAAACGATTCTGAGCCATGTCGTTCAAGGTCTCTAACCATCGAAGACTTTCACCTCGTGGACCCTACAACCAGGTGGTCTAAATTACCAACATGACTCAGTTCACTTGTCAGTGACTTCATGGATTTGTGTCATGTTTTGGTCTGGCCGCCTTTAGCTTTCTTCCAACCTACTCCTACGCCACAAAACATCGCTCGCCGAGGCAGTCGGTGTTCGGGCATTCGTAATACAAGTCCCGACCATCTCAACTGATGATGAAGTCTCCATACTTCATCTATTGATCTGCCACTTACCTAGTACTCGATTCCTAATTATAGGATTGCTTGCTCGGTTGTTCCAGGATATACGAGCAATGCTTTGAAGACATCTATAGTCGAACACTAATAGCCTACGAATGTCTTCTACTCATACCGGTCATGTTTCGCATCCATACAGTATGATAGAGCGAACTGCCACTTAGTACACTCGTTCATTGGTTAGCAAAAGGATATCTCGTCTACGCCATAAGTGACCAAATTTGGCAAAAGCCATTCGAGCCTTCTGTATCCGTGCTGACGGTCTAAATGAAAAGGCATACAAGTTTTACTAATATTTTCCATTGTTTTAAAAGTACCTTGGAGATTAATTTTATCAAGTAAGAAAACTATGCTTACAACCTTCAACTACTGCTACATTAGTTAGGACAGTGACCATGTGTTCTGTATGATTTATTGAATACAATTTATACTGGCTAATAATAATGTTAGATATTAATTACATTCTTTTTCCATAGCAAATCTAATAAAATTATTGTTGTTACATTAAAGGAATAAAGAAAACTGATACTCACTTTAGCATTCAAATGAGTAAACATCTCATTTGGTAAACGAGCAGTACATAATGCAGGATATGTTGTACTAATAACTAGACGACCAAAACCAGCAAGGCAACGAGCAATATCAGGAAGACTAACTTGATGTGGAGAAGATTGAAGAGTTGTAGAAGAACCACCATTTAATCTTTGATGATGATGATGCTGCTGCTGATGATGATGATGATGATGATGACTACGATGAGATGGAGAGGAATGTGAATCAGATTCATTGTAATTTGTAATTGATGGTCCAGAGTAGTTTCCTGAGGAAACAGATGGAGATGATGAACATATAGTACGCTTTGAAGCTGTACAACACATGTTATTCATATGATTATGCTGATTGTATGGACCAACACAATCTTGATAACAAAGGAAGGCATTCTCACGTGGTTCAGTCAAACCACTAATCGAATCTAATTTATCATTTAAGTAAGTTATTGTTTTTGTAATACTTCGTACATCCATCTAAAGATTCAATGAAAAAAAAAGTATGAAATGTACAAGAGAATTATAATCATACGAAAAAAAAAACTGTATAATTTAAACGTTATATAGTCTTTGGTAAATTGATTGAAACAATCATTATAGGATGGTGTTAAACCCTTAAACAACATAACAAACAATGACTTAGGTGGACAAAAATTGACACTGGTTAGAAATTAGAATAAAATAAATGAAAGGTTAATGACTTTGTGTTATTTTGGCTCCATTACCATTGATATGAAGTAACTTTTGAATAAACACATCCATTGTTTTAATCAGTTTGAAAAACATAAATTAATGATATACTATGTGAAAAAAGCGATAAGGATTACCGATGCAGTTTTCTGATAATTAGTGTGCTAGAACAGCCGATAAAGGTGTAAAGTTTTGAGAGGGAAAGATACCGAGAATAACTCTTACATCCATTAAAAAAAAATGGGGACCTTACAGAGAAAGGCAAAAATTAATTTCTGTTTTCTTTATCAATCAGTCAATCAGTCGACAGCAACGTAGTACTTCCTACGTACGTACGTACATACATCAGTTCAAGTTGTCATACCACATTAACACAGAGATCTAACTGTCAATTCAAATCTCATAGTAGTAGGGATAGTAAATGTATTAACAGAAATAGAAGAGATTAGGGTTCGACGATAATATTCAAGAAGTAAAATCTAGTGAAATAAACTTAAAAAGAAAAAGATAAAGGTGATGAGAAACTCTGAAGGTTAGGATTTGAAAGAAACAAAGAATGAATGCCTCTGCGTCATTGCGGGGTTACAGGAGAGCTAAAATCATTCGTTTCAGTGGTGCGAGGTGACAAACGACCGAAGGAAGGGTTGGTCGAGGAGATAAAAGAGTTATTAGGAGATGCATAAGGGATTTGATTGTGACCGATTCGGTCTCGTGTGTTTTTATGGGTATGAGGGCGGATGTTACTTCCCGGCTGGCCACACCGTGGAAGGGTTCTGGTTATCAGAAGGGGCAAAGGTCTCATGACTTCCGAAGGAACTGAGCTTGCATCATGAAACGTCATAACTCTTCTAAATGAAGACCTTCTAACTCCCAGAGCAGAGTTCATATGGTTTGAATTATTTTTTCTAGTTACCGTTTTTCTAGCGAGTTAGTTTCTTGTGAAATGGGGTCGCCAACCCCAATCCCAATCCTCCTCCTTTATCCGGTCTTGGGACCATCAGTAGCCCCGAAGGGTCTAAAGGCGGAGTTCTTATCTTCATAGTTTGCTATGAAAAAATATTTTTGATGTCCAGTTATACAAAACTATTTTTGTCTCGTCGATAAATAAATAAATGAATATACACTAGCTTCAATCAATAGATAACTAACTCAACCTCAGCGTGGTCGAACTTCGGTTTCTTACTTGGACTCCAATGAGCGTTTGGAGATTTTTAGATTTGTATACTTGATACATCAAAAAAGATCTTAGACAATCACTGAAAACTAGAAGTATTAGACAGCTTATTTCGTCCTAATTTTAAACTCTTCAGTGGTGAACACAACTACTGGTCCTAACGTAATGAGATCGGTGTGAAAGTCGAAAATCCTGGGTCTAGTCACCAGTGCAGTTGTGGATGCGTATCGTAGAATCCTATACTAGGATGAAACAACTTTCTAATACTTACTATTTAACAATTGTTGTCTAACTGTGTAGTCAGCTCATGATGTAGACCATCGAAATTTAAATATAATATATTCACAACTAAACAAATCTTCTTAGATTTTGTTTTAGCAAATTACATTAATTACTAATATTACAACTAAACAGAATTGATTTATTCAGTCTACTTCCTATTTTATGCTTACATTTTAAACAAAGGTGTACTTTTTTTTTACTTCGCAGGATCACAGTTAAGTTATCTGCTTTTTCAAAACAATTAAACAAACTTAAGTACGTATGTGGACATTTTGAATTAATCAATCAGTCAGTCAGTTAGTTAATAAATAAATATTAACGGAAGACCCGATACTACCGCGTATCAGTCAAATCAGCCATATCTCAAAATCATATTATCACAGTAAGAGGAAATTAACAAGATAAAAGGAATAAAATGCAAAAGTAACATTGAAAACAATAAAAGATTGACTGAATAAATAAGTAGCGCAGTTCAAGTGGAATAATTATAATTAAAAGAATGAAAATTAACGAATAATGGACAAGATATGTATGTTGACGAATTTCGGACATACATAATATGCATTACGGGGTTGTGAAGATTGTTAAGTTACACATTCTTTGAAACCATGAATTGATCAATGTTAGACCACCATTAGAAACCTGAAAGCACTGGACAGCCGTTTCGTCCTGGTATGGGACTCCTCAGAAGTGCGCATCCACGACTCCTGCACCTCGCAGGATTCGAACCCAGGACCTTCGGTATTGTGCGCGAACGCCCTAACCGACAGACCACTGAGCCGGTATCTAACGGTGTTAATGTCTAACTTGATCATATTCACGGAGTTGCGCAACCTCATACACAGTCTTCGGTAGTTACTGTCTACACCCGAACAGGTTGAACTTCACTGGTCACGTCTTCCCACTAGAACTCGGAGAAGATTCCTCACGGAGCTAGTCACTAGTCACCGAAGGTCCTGGGTTCGAACCCTGCGGGGTGCAGGAGTCGTGGATGCGCACTGCTGAGGAGTCCCATACATAATATACCATTTGAAATGTGAAGAGATCAAAAACAACAAACAAACAAACAAACAGTCACTAATTGGTGTTTATATAATTTTTTAACACAGTTATAACTTTAAAAACTATAAATAATTCCAACCGAATCAAGTAAACAATGTTTATGCATTCTCACATGTTATCATCTCACTCAAGGTTGTCAATTATAGAATCATAAATAGACATTAAAAAATCATAATGATGATGATGATCATAAGATATTAGCTAAATAAAATGAATTAACTAATGTATTTATTATTATACAAAATAAGCGATGAGGTGATCATCAACTTTTTCAATTATACTAATAAAATAATATATAACATGATACGATTTATCTGCGTATGTATGTACAATGAAAAATAGATCCGAGTTCATGGTGATCACATTGTATACAGTTAAAATTTATTAATAATAATGTGGACAAGTACATTTATTTAATTAAGATCTTTTTTATACTTATTATTAGACCAAAGGATGCCCTAATGAGTGTGGTGTCCGTCAGGGCTGCCCACTCTCTCCTTTCTTGTTTAATTTTATCATAGACATGCACCTGGATATAACCTTATCCTCGTCTGAATTTTCAGGAGTCGACTTTCTACCAGGAAAATCTCTTACTGACCTAGATAGGCCGATGACATAGTTCTATTCGGTGAAGACGCTGACAAAATACAGTCTTCTGACCACCCTGAGCAACAATGCAAGCATGTTCGGGATTCGGTTTTCCCCCTCGAAATGCAAAATGTTGCTTCAAGATTGGGTTTCATCGGCACCTGAACTAGTGATAGGGAATGAAGTAGTAGAACGTGTAGACCGCTTCACTTATCTGGGGAGTCTCATCAATGCCGATGGCCTGATGACTGACGAAATCTCAGCTCGGATACAGAAGGTTCGATTGGCTTTTGCCAACCTGCGTCACTTATGGCGCAGGCGAGATATCCGTTTGCTAACCAAAGGACGAGTGTACTGTGCAGCAGTTCGCTCCGTTCTCCTATATGGCTGTGAAACATGGCCGTTAAGAGTAGAGGACTTTCGTAGGTTACTAGTCTTCGATCATCGATGTCTCCGAAGCATTGCTCGTCTATCATGGGACAACCGTATAAGCAATGCTGTCGTTAGGAAACGGGTCCCAGGTAGGGATGGAAAATCAATAGATAAAGTAGTGAAACTTTATCATTTGAGGTGGTTGGGACATGTGTTACGTATGGCTAAACACCGACTGCCGCGACGAGCTATGTTTTACAGTGTAGGAGTAGACTGGAAGAAAGCTAGGGGCGGCCAAAACAAAACATGGCAGAAATCCAGTCACTGATAAGTGGCCTGAGTCATGTTGGTAGATGTAGGCTACCTGGTTGGGGTCCGCGAGACGATAGTCAACGATGGTTAGAGACCTTGAACGACATGGCTCAGAATCGTTTGCAATGGCCCGGGCGCATCCACTGTTTGTGTTCTATAAAATTCTAACCTTTTGCATTCCTCATAGTCTCTATCTTTCTCCTCCTAAATTTATCTTACTGAATTATACTTCTTGAAACATATCTTCGCTCCCTAATCTTCTACATTACTGCTAATACTTCTACCATTGCTGTCACTCTTGGATTTGAACTGACAGTTGCGTCTCTGTGCTGATGGGGCATGGCAACCTGAAATGATGCACTTACGTACGAAGTTCTGCGTTGCATCTGTCTGTCTGTCTGTCTGTCTCGGACCCAATTCGTATCACAGTTATAAAAGCTCATAGTCTAACTGTCCATGAATGTTGAAGTACCAACAAGGTTGATTTATTTAAGATTGAACTTGAAACTTAGTTAGCCTAATGCGATATTAGATATAAAATAGAGGATACTGAAATAAATAGTTGGGAAGTAAACTAAAAATTACTTACAACACCCTTAAGACGATCACATTCTGTACGAATTAAATCTCTTTCTGTTTCAATTAATGAAAGTTGATCGGTTAAAGCACGTCGTTTCTCTTCCCCAAGTCGTTTTACACTGTCCAATAATTCGCCTTGACGATGTTCAACCAATGCCAATATTTCAGAAAAACGTGAGTTAATAGACTAGAATCAACGAAATAAATCAATAATAAGAGATTATGTATTGAAAGAACCAAAACAGTTGGACACACCATAAATGTTAAAACATTATAAAGATATAGAAAATAATAAGGATTAGATAGAAAATAGAAGCGGCTGATTATACTAATTCAAAAGACTGATGATGCTTTATTTCAAAATAAGTTCATGAACTAATCAATCCTCTACCTGTTTTTATAACTAGTTTGCATCAGTAAACAATGACTGATATGATAGTCGATAGGTTGGTAATAATAAAATTATACAGATTACAGAAAAATTAGTTGTAAAATTACTTCATTTATATAGAAATCATTAGCACTGTGCCTGAAACATACACCATATAACCTTAACATTACATTTATATTGGTGTCATTGAATATGAACGAAAGTACAAAGGTATCTGTAAACTATAATTATCCTGGAACTAGAACGTTTCAAATGTTTTAAAGCTTGGGAAAACAAAGTGTTACACTCTTGATCATTAGAAGTCAGAATGACCTTACAAATGTATCAAAAAATAACCTACATTGGTATACACTACACTAGCTTTATTACACTAAGATTAATGGAGCATTACTTTGACTATATATAACTGTATATCAACCAATCTAAATGTAAATGGAAAAATATTATTAGTATACTTGAGATAGGAAACTGTCCCGGAAAGTAATAAGTTTATGTTGTTACCAAAAAACTAGAGTCCCATTATTCATCAATGACAATTATTAACAGTAACATATTTAAATCATAACACAAAAAGGCGATCATGTCCTGAAACATTTGAGAAGACAGTAACCAAAAACCAAGTGAAGAGGATCGATGATATTTGTACAGTATACTTTAGAGCGATTCAAGAGTCATGTTGAGGTGCATAAAATCATACCAACCGACACGGTATGATACGGTGGGTGGTTGTTGACTTTTTTTATTTTACTTTTGTCTCACTTAACAGGTACATATTCGTGTGCTTAACTTTGAGTGCTTATTTTAAATGCAAGTAAGAGCCAGTAGCAATAACTAGACGTCCAAATTGAAGTAGGCGGAGCAGTTTTAGAATCAGCAACTGAAAGTCAAATCACCTAACCACTGAATGAATGCTCACTGATGATGACTGAATACCAATAGCACATGTCTTAAACTATACATTTGATTAGGTTTCACAATCTAATCATCTAATTTATTTATTTAAGTAAGTACTCTGAATTTAAAATTATTGTTCATCAATCAACCATGTCATCATATCCGGTTAAGGTTTATGAATAAACGCATGAAATTGGCGCATACGATTCATTGGAAATAGTTGACTCACAGCCAAAATGTGACGCTATCAGTTTGTGTTGCTATTGTCCAGAAAGACAATAACAGCTGCGTAATTAAACCATTCAGCTTAAACCATACAACCTCACCATAATTCTTCTTCTCAACCATTTTGCAAGTAATATTATTCAAGTCTTCAATTTAAGTTTGTTTAACCTGGTTAACATTACTAGTCCTTTCTACTAAAATAATCTTGAAAGAAGATTTCTGTGAAACTAAAAATAATATTGTAGAAGTTTTATTGTTTCAAGTTAAAGAGAGTTGACAGAACAGAACAAACTACTTGGTGTATCAATAAACATAAAAGTTAAGCATCATATGACATTAATATTACGCATGATACATTGGTATTCGGATTGATGTATGGTCATATTATACTAGATTAAGCCCTGCTTAAATTATTAAGAATAGGTAATGTTTATACCATTAAGTTAGTTGACTGTGTTGAATTACATGAAGCTAAAATACAATGTTCCACTACTTACATTATAACATATAGAAACTATAATGAATGTTCATAAATAATGAAGTTTATACGAAAAAAACCAAGTCTAATTATTTTGTCATAATATTCAATTTTAACAAACACCAAAGTTAGAATTTTCAATACAAATGTCAAGACAATTCTACTGTATGGGGTAGAAACTTGAAAAACTATTAAAGCCATCATCCAGAAGATACAAGTACTTATTAACAGTTGTATACGCAAAATACTTCGGATTCGCTGGTCAGACACTATCAGCAACAACTTACTGTGAGAAAGAACAAACCAGATTCCAGAGGAGGAAGAAATAAGGAAGCGCTGGAGTTGGTGGATAGGACACACATTGAGGAAAACATCCGACTGTGTCACAAGACAAGCTCTCACTTGAAATCCTCAAAGACAAAGGGAAATAGGAAGGTCAATCAACACAATACACCGAGTAATCGAGACCGAAATGAGAAGAATGAACGAAAATTGGACAGAACTGGAAAGGGAAGCCCAGAACAGTGTAGGTTGAAGAAAACTGGTCGGCGGCCTATGCTTCATTGGGGGGGGGGGGTAACAGGAGTAAGTAAGTAAGTAGTATTCAATATGAAGTCAAATGTTATCATGATTATGACTTACTTCAACACATGAACTTGTATTACTTGTTAAACGTTCTAATTCACTTGTTACAGCTTCTTGAGCACAATTCAACTCTTGAGTACATAAATGCATTTTATAAAGCATAATTTCTGAACAACGTTTTAATGCAACATTGAATGTGATCACATTATGATTTAGACCAGTATTTGACGATGAACTGTCTACTTGTGTAGTAATAGTAGTAGTAGTAGTAGTATCTTGATTTTCATTATTCACTGGTGGTAAACATGATAAATCTAAAAGATTCAAAAACTCATGTAAAAACAATGATTATTATGTATTACCATTTAAATGATTTGAACCAGCATGATTACGACCACGGCATTCACTGCAAAATACAATATCACAAGTTTCACAAAACAATAATTCTTGTGATGGATGTATACAACATTTAGGTACAACATCTCGACGATGAGTAGCAAGTAAATCTAATAATTGATTGACTATAAAAGCTGGAGGAAATGAAGCTGCACCACCTGATGGAATAGCAATATTCTCTCGACAAATTGGACAACGAAATGTCTCTGATTGAGTCTGCAAATAAATAAAGAGAGAGAGAGAGAGACAAATTCAAAATTACATAATCACAGTAATTGTGTAAAAGTTAGAGAACAAACTGAAATTTATTTTATGCGATATCCACTACCTCATAAAATATTAGTGCTTTCTTTAGGTTGTAAGCTAATTTTTAGAATTATCCTTAATTGTTTAGTTGTGAGAAACCTAGGGAAACTTACATGAAAACGATACTTACACAAAATTGTAATGAATTCCCGTTAATGAGTCATTGTATTTAACGTTTGTTAATGGTAAGTAGTGATAGTTTGCTAAAGATACTTATTATCGTATTCAACAACAAGAAACCATATTCAATTATCTCACTTAAGTCTTGTCAACTTGAAATACTTTTGAAGTTATGTATAATTACAAATTCAACCACACACAGTAAATAAGCATTTCATTACTACTGGTCCTTCAGTGTTTCTCTGTTATCTTTTTGAGTGGAATCAACAATTACTCAGAACCATAATAAATATCGACATTGTATGATACTAATTCTAAGGATATTTTACTATGGAAGTGTTAGACTATATACACAAAGTTTTTGTCAGTTAGTTATGGATTGTCGATTGTTCATTTTTGATAAGTACACTTTAACTAAACTAAGGATTGACAGGAACTCGAAATGAGATGTTATGGAATAAGTCAAACTAAGTTAATATCACACTAGATAGAAATCTGTAATTTTTGGTTTCACTTTTCTGCACAGTAGTGAATTATATCGACTATAATTTTCAAGCTGTTTTGATTTTGTGCCATATGGGAAATATTGTATGAAATAAATAGATTTAAACGAAAAATACAAATATAAAGAATGACTTTGTGATACAATTATCCCATATATGTATCTATGGAGCTTTATATTCAGTTACTGAACAATGAAGATAAAAATTCATGTCGAATTAATAATCCCGCAATATTAGTTTTTCTTTCATATTTTACTGTGTGGAATTTGGGATACAAAGAGATGTTAGACAATTTATACCACCCAAAAATTACTTATTCATATTTGATAAACACTACTTAATACCTAATTGATATGCACAAAGACCAATAAGATAAGAGGTATAATGTTAACATTAAAGCATAAGGGTTCGTTATTCAGGATTGATTTTTGAGTATGACTTATTGCTGTTAGACAGCAAAGATTTAAATGCTGAACACATGTTTACCTGGAAGGTTAACAAAATTAATTCACATAGGTATTTAAGGAAGTTGAACTTTCCTGTGAAATTAGAACTAGTGAGGTTCCCCTAAATCAGAAAAGGAGAAGTTTGTGACCGGATAGCAGAATTTATGAAACAAACTTTGGTAGCTTCTATATTAAACTTACTGTCTTCAAACAGAAATATTTCCTGAATCAAACAGAAAGTGATTTTAAGTTGGACAGATCTAACAATATATTATAACTTGTGTTATGAAAAATTAACCTCCAAACTGGAATTAGAGAAAATTCATCTAGCTGAAAGAATATTCCTTACAAGATAGATAGTGTTGAATTCTAACTAAATGATAAATCTATATGAAGCATAAAATGTATCAATAAAATCATTAGAAATGACAGTTTTTTCACTTACTTCATTTGTGACAATTCGATCTAAACATGAACGGCATATTGTATGTGAACAAGGTAATAATTTGGCAGCACGTTCATTAGAATTATAACCACTGAAACACGTGCCACAGGTTAAAAAATTGTCTGCAAAGTCGTCCACATTAATCATAACCGTTTCCACCAAACGAGATGACATCTAGATAGAAATGAGATAAATTGTAACAGTGAAATATCATATACTTAATTGAACAGTTAAGGAAATTAAAAGCTTGCTAAAATTTTGCAAATGATTAGATAAGTTGATGAAAGTGAATAGGTTGAATAGAAGTTTAAATAGTAAAAATTATTTCATCAGGCTCGTTCTGATATCAGTGAAATACATTTATTCTAGTCCTAATTGTGTAGAATTTGTGAATGCAAGTTAACCTCTCAAGTATTTACAATAAGTAATAAAAATATAAAGAGTAATCAACTTTTTTATAGTACTAGTGGGACCCATAAGACCGAACGTTCTATACACTTATTCAAACAAATGGCAACCAGAACTGTGGTGTGAGTGAAACAATCCACAAGGCTGATGTAACACCAATCATTAACATCTACCATCGTCTTGGACGACAGATAAAGTTTGTCGAGGAACGGTTCAACTGATCTGCTGCTCTGGCGACATCAATCAGACCGTCCTGTCCTCCGTGACCAATGACAGATGATCTATCTAACAAGGCAGAAGTCTGCAAGGAACTCTAACTCCTGAAGCACCACAAATCACTAAGCCCAGATGACTCACTGGCCCTTCTAAAGATGGCAGTGACCTTCTGACTGAGGACGTTAGGCAACTCCCTTTGTCTGTCCATTATTGTCTTCGAAGAATTGCTGACATTCAGGTGCAACACCATGTTAGCAATGAAGTGGTTCGGCAACGTGTGTTTGAGCCCAGTGACAACAATTCAGTCGGTGTTACCATCTCAGAAAACCGACTTCGGTGGCTTGGACATGTACTAAAAATCTTATCCTAGTAAATTCCACACCATGTATTATTTAATAACGCTAAAATTAGTTGAAAACGGCAGGGAGGTGGTCAGCGTATGACATAGTATCGTGGAGTGAAAGAAAAGTGTACGGGGTTGGTATAATGTTGGTCCTTCACAACTATCTGACTCGGTACCTAGAGATGATGTAACCCAGTGACGCTATCAAACATGAGTAAAATTAGAAGCTGGCGGTGGTCCTGATGTAATTTTTCTCAGCTTTTTTCACAGGAGGAACTTCATTAACAAATAAGGATTCTTTTTGACTGAATTTTCTTAAGTAAACTGTTTTCCTCGCTATTATCACTATCATTTCACCATCATACAGTAGTCTCGATTCATTTTTTGTTAAACTAATCGTTTATCCACTATATCTTCATAAACTCTTCTTATTGTGAGGAATATACATATCTTGACGCTTCCTTGCGCCAATTTTTATGTTTCAAATAAAACAGAAAATAATTAGAGAAAGACCTTTAAATTATTTCCCCACAATCATCCGATGCAATTTCTCACGTCGATTTTTCAAGAGTACTTTATGAATAAGCTTACCACATCTTCGAATAAAAAATCTTCCGGTTAACGGCTTTATTATTGTGTACAAACCACTCGGAGGCTTGTGTAAATTGTTTTCGTGAACAGACATTACTCAAGCACATATTGCATCATCTTATATTACCTACAGACCAATACTAAACTCACTGATTTTTACAACTGAATCTATCCAATGAATCACAGTTACAACTTTTAATTTTTGAGGAATTTATCTCTAGTCAAAGTAACTATATTAAAATTGCCTTGGAACATGTGAAAGCATTTATAACGGGGGAGAACTTCCCAGAAAAGTAGACAATTCACACAAAATTTTACGAACAAGAAGGGTATATGGATGTTTATGCTCGTCAATAATCGACCAGCGAGATTATGCATTTGGAGTCAGTGGAAGACGCTCAAGTCTCAGTTATAATGATGGTAGGTAAGTCAAACCGTTAATCGTTGCAGACTTTCACCCAGTAGAGACCGAAACTCTCCTTAAAAGTGTTTTCTGATTATGCTGATATCACTTTTTCGGGTAAGGTAATCCAGTCACCGACTACTCGATGTGCAAAACGGAATCGCACTGAGTTCATTTGATTGCAGCTATTGAACATTCTTACAGTGGCTTCGTAGATAATAAGTTCCAGTTGTACACTCGACAAGCAAGACAACTCAGCAGACTGCTTAAGCACGATCTTATAAAAATACGCAAATACGTCAGCATTACGAAAAAAATGAATGAACGATCTTCCGAGTTGAGGACTAAACTCCTGAACTAAAAAATCTTTAGAACTAACAATCGTTCTTAACCGCAGTTACTGCGTTTTTAATCACATCTAGACAGCATAAATATATGAACTAGTGATCATTAATGAGTAAATAGAAAAAAATCTTAATCTTGTACTACATTGCTTCATATAAAATAAAAATTAATTTGAGAACAACGAACATTTAAAAATTCTGTGATATATACTATGTGTCAAACCGCAGTCATAAGGTGAGATAATTTTGCAAGGTTCATACGTACCATTGATGAGGTCATCTCCAAAGGGACAAACCATACGCAACAAGCCAATCAGGTCAGAGGGAGTCGAACGGCCCGCTGTAAAGTACAATGTCCAATAAATATTTCAAGTTTGCAAAGTATTTCGTATTTAGTTGTGTGAATTTTACGAAATAATTGAAGCTGACGCTTGAAAAACAATACATTGAAGGTAGTGTTCAGTATTTGAAAACCACTGCCATTGACAAACTACTCTACTTAATGAATTCAACATTTCGGTTTTGGAATTTAATAAACATAATAAAATTTTTATCTCAGTTTGCATGAGTTACTCAGGAGTATACAGTTGTACTGATCAATTTGGTTATATGAATACCGCTCAATGTGTAAGTGCAGATCAGAATAAAGTTTATTGTAGATAATACAAGAGAATGAAAAATATACTAAGCTCCTCAGTTGCACTTTTAGACTGACTTAACAGATTTGTGTTTGATATTCTCATTTCGAAAGAATCAATGCTGGTTCAGTTGAATCACTTGAAGTGAATGAGTAAGTGATAAAATGAAGCATTCATTGAAATTTTTCTACTTTTTGGCTCCATTGGATTTTGTATCTCATCAACAAAATATTTTGAAGCTTAATATGTCAAAACCTTGTAGTAGAGATACGCGATTCACAATAATTGCAACGGGTTGAAAAACTAGAAGCTGAAATTCAAATTTTCTTTAATTGTGGAATCGAAGAGGTTCATTTTAATCTATTTGATACTTGTCATCTAGATGTAAGTCAGGATTCCAATTCAGTTCTTATTACTTCAAAAATGAATGTATTTCCACCGGGAATTTTGAATAAATCTGAGAAATTTCACACAAAACAATCTCAAAAGGTTCACTCCTACTGTATAGTCATTCCACGACATAATGCGGAAATTCGCCATAGAAAACATCTGCATAGTCGTTCACATTGAAATAATTAAGGTTTTCAAATATTAACATCAGGGTTTAATTTTAACTATTCAGTTCAACATCTGGGCAACACATGTAAACTATATGGGCACCATGAGTTGACATTTGCAATACTCAGATGACGAGAGTTATTGCAGTCGATCGGCTAGTCCACTTTCAGTAGACTACATTTAACACCTGGAACCATACCGAAACAACCAGAAGCCATCTCGAAGATGTAGAATCCTTTTGGAATGTTTGTTTTTTGGAAAATCCCTCCATGTTTACATATTTTTGTTATGACATGACGGACTTTTTCTGTTGACATTTTTGGTACTTTAATTGATT